ACTATAAGTCATAAAGAGGGCCTCACAGTTGTCCCCTTCATGAAATGGCGCTCAGATTTCTCGTTCAATGTTCACTACAGAACGTACGATCTGAAAATCAAGAGTTTTACACTGCAGCTGGAGCCCGCCCTATTTTCGGGACAACTAAAGCAACAACTGTCGCGCTTCAGCTACGAAATTACGTGTTCGGCGGTCATGGTCGTTGGGTGGTAGTTGAACAAACTTTCACTTGCGTATTCTACTGCGTTCAGCGTTCCTCATTTCCAGAAAAATCTCGCGAGCAGTGGGTTCATTCCTACGGTTTGTTACACCATGATATACCTAACTCAAAGTGAATTGAAGAAAACTTATTTTTCAAAACTTTCATCTACCTTTTCTTGTCACACAATAACTTTTATCCGCGTTTGCGGTAATGTGATGTCGTTTTCTACCATCATTCCATCATCAATTTGGCTTTGCCTTGGTGGCGCTTCACCCATTTACGAGTGTTTATTTTGTAATCCAATTCCAAACCCTATATGAACATTGTATTTGTATGCCGTAGGCACCAGTTGAGATGCAGCGAAGTCATCATCATCGTGCAATGTCGCTATCTTGGTATCTCTTCGAATTCCATTCATCTGTTTTGTCGGCTTTATCTAACCCTCTTCAGGTTTATAACTAAAATGTTACAACCACCAACTGAATTACATAGTGTTGTTGATGCATCGCACACTCTTCATAAATTATCACGAAAAAACCGGGTAGACGTGAGCCTGAGTCGATCTTTTCCTTTTGCATTTTCTTCAAATTGATACATTCTGGTTTTTTATTGTGACCCAGCTCTTCACCAACCTCATCTTGTCTTTCATAGTGGTCGGCTCCGAAAAATTCTCCTGATGAAACAGTGGATCCCAGTGACTACCTCCCATGTCACGAAGGGTTCCGATTGAAAAACGGACACCAGGACCAAATAATTTTCACGCGGTCATTCTGGTGTACACCCATTCATTTAATTTTGAGTGGTGAGGCCTACTCATCATCAGTGGTCAATATCTGAATGCACTTTAAGTAATGGTCACGTTTGGAGAACTGCCTTGTTTCAGGACCTATTGCAACGACCTATCATATGCTACTACTGATCATCGTTCCCGATGATGAGCTTGCCATTGCACTCTAATCAGTGTAATTTGTTCGGATCATGTTTTACGCTGGTGGTGATGCGCAGGTATACGCACCAATACGCCAATTGGTTATCTCTGCAGCAATGTATTTCTGCCTTCAAAAGCCTCAGTGTGGTCGGGGGTGCGTGTCTAGGGTTGCGGCTGGTCACTCGTCCCTTGCACCTTGCGAAACGCTCTCATACGACCAAGCGTCTCAGTCTCTGCTAAGGAATTCAGCCCCCATTTTCCCTCTGTGGTCTCAGCCGCTGGTCTTTCAGTGTCCTCCCTTTTTGCACATCTGGTCCTATTTGCACACAACTGAGAAGACAGCTACTGCGATGAAAATTTCATTCGTTCATAGGTCGCTAGGCTATTGAAGCACGAAATAACCGAACCTTCTTCATCACCATGGCAGTCCTAGGTCCTGGCTAAAACCAACGAACGCCAGAAACAATGGATGTTAGTCGATTACAGTCAGTCAATTCACCCTTTCAGATGCTTATCCGCTACCCTGCGTTAATGCCTCCGAACTCTTCAGTATGGTCGGGGGTGCGTGTCTAGGGTTGCGACTAGTCACCCGTCTCTTTCACCTTCCGAAACGCTCCCATACGTTCAAGCGCCTCAAATATCCTCTACTGAGGAAGTTTTACTCCTTCTCGTGGCGGAGGTATTTCTCCACCAAAGTGAGAGGACGAAAAGCCGATATCCGGGACTACAGTCGGGTTGGTGGACCGCTGGTAGTTCACCTAGGGGAGTTGGCCATAACCCCGGATTCTAAACTAACCAAGAGGAAGTGTACGAACCACACCCTCCCGATTGTGGCAGTAATCACCGGCTCAAATATGTATTGAGGTCTATTGGGCACCTTAGACGTTTAACCCCGTCCGAAGGGCGAGTGATCCGATGAACTGGACTGCGGTTTTCGCACACCGCCCCGCTGCCTTGCGGGTCAGGCTTTGGCTAACCGAATTCTCCGGTTATCAGGTTATTGTTATTGCACGATCACTGANATTTAATCACTCGATCGGACAACTTGTGCCCTAAGTGCCAGTCGGTCACCCACACGGTTTGAACCCCAAATGTCATCTCGTTTTCTTACTTTGGTGAGCAGCGCCTCCGATTATTGAAGGTTGCCAGAAGGTCTTTCTCAACAGTGGTGATCTGATATACTTGGCCCTGTAGCAGCCTATCGAGAGGCAAAAAGGAAAAGTGACCGATCATAACCCAAGACTCCGACCATACTTAGGCTTTCGGAAGCACGTCATTCAGTTTTCATTTTGGACTCGTAAATTTATTAGCGTATCCCTTCCCTCCTCGCCAACCAATAAGTGTCAGCTTTTACAAACAGTAACCATACACTTCGTGCACCGGTTTCGGTTGCTGTCTTTTGGCTGAACCTTTGATTGAACAATTGAAGAAAGATAGGAAGATTGAAAGTAAAGTCAAATGGAAAATTTCAGTGGACTAAGGTTGCAAAGAGATTGAGATGCACAACCACCATTGTTTACGAAACTCAGCCATATCACTCGGCATCTCCAACCAATGGGTACGATCATTCCGTGGTCTCCGTTCAGGGAGCCTAAACAAACCTGTGACCTAGTTCTATGCTTAGGGTTTTCTTCCCCTCACGTCAGGTCTTAGTCATCATTGTCATCATCATCGTACAGCGAGATACAGTGTACGATCTCAGTTTGGTCTTAACTTGACCAATCTACTTTTTTCCACCCTCGGTTTATAGCACATGCCATGAAACTCTTTGCTGACATACCTTGCACATGCCCAACCAGCGCGTCTCTTGAAGTCGACCATTTGCTCCAGTGGGCCACCGCGGTTACCCAAAACGCTACGCCTAACCTCAGCATTGCTTTTCCGGTTTTCCCACCAGATTCGTGCAATGCTGCGTAGGCCGCGATGTTCAAACAGGCAGTTTGTCTTTATCCCCATTTTGTGGTGACCAATTTACTGCACTGGATTCGAGTTGACACTATGTGTGGTGCGTCCACCGGGTGAGATATAGCTGCCCAAATAAAACATCCGCTTGCTCTATTAATTCCCCAGTAAGATTGATGAGGCTGGGTACTGAACCAACCCAATCTTGTAGCAACATTTCCAAATGGGCGCCAAAAGACAGCAAGAAAATCCGTCGCATGAAAGTGCATAGTCAATGGTTGTAAAAGCTGAAACTGCAGCAACATTTTNACTGAACATGGATACGCTGACACTCAATCTTTCCAGAAAAGCTTGCAACTTATCTGGATCTTCACTTAACCGTACAATTCCATCTGTAAGCTCAGACTCGACTTCGGCCATTGGTATAAAGGGATCATGACATTGAATTAAACTTCTCGGACTCCCTTTGCCAATCAACGCAATGCTGCATCATTTCGCCCAAACGATCCACTATCACCGGTGCATGAAAATCGTGATGTAGTGAGTCCATTGAACTCGGAAACGAACATTTTATTTTCTTTCATTGAGAGAACACAACTGGTAGAACGGTATTTATGGTCGTGGTAATGGTAGCGACAGGACATAGTAACAGAACAAAATAAACCTACTTTTATGAAAAAGGGTTAATTTGCCTTTTCGACGATTGTGGAAATGGGCCACTTGAACGGATATCTCCGGTTCAGTATTACGCAAATTCGGTTAAGGTTTTTAAAGAAATATCCCTCCTGAGTAATTAACGAATATTTCTGAACTATATGCCGTCCTAAATGTTTGTGCTCGAGAAAATCTCGCGCTCATGTTTTGGTTCTTAGTTGATCTTTCGTTTCTCTCTTTTTACAGCTGTTTGCTCAACACATTCGCCGGAATGTGCTTCGTGTGTTCAGTGATGCGTCCAATTCTGTGATCAGTCAGCAACTGGGTGATTTATGGCGCACAGTACCTCTGCGATTGCGTAACCAATATGACGATGAAGCAAATCGTTTAGTGAAAATTCACCAACTGGAATTCCCGAATTATAAATACCAACCGAAAAAGCGAGTCCCTTTGAATAGTCAAGCGAATTCCATACAAAATGGAGTCTATTCATGCCTGAATAACAACGCCACTAGCTGCTTCATCAGTGGATCCAATTCGTCCCCTGTCATCACGAGTACGGTCAGTCACACTTCGGTGAACTTACTTCAGTTGACAACAACAACGCGGGATATCGTAGATTGCGATCGTATAATCAATTGTCCTCGTGAGGTTGATTCGTCTAGAAATGATTTGACAAATCGATCACGTTTGACCGTTAGTCAGGCACCGACTTCAAGCGCAACATCTCAACTGCGCGCGAACGTTTCGATAGCCCCCACTGTACGGGTGGTCAGTCCAGCAAAGGCTCCTGTGAGAACAGTATACAAACGTTTGGAACCCAAACGTCAGAATTCAATATTTGGTTCCGCACACTCGGGAAGCGGTGCTACCGCCCATAGTCTTTCTTCTGTCCTACCGCCCTTGTTGACCTCATCTACTTCGTGTCCTGTTTCCGGATCGATGCGACCAATCTCTTCCTCAACCACAGATCCATTCCAAATCGGGTCATGTGACTCGGCCTATGGCTCAGGGATCAATAGTTCATCGTCCTCTTCGGCATCTTCGCCAGCTGTGCGAGATTTACTCTCGCCCGCTAAATCGCTCGCATCAGCCTCTCAGAGTGGCGCAAGGTCTTCACCCATTCGGCGCAAAATTCGGCCACTATCTCAACAACACTCATCACAGCAGACACAACAACATTTAACCCAACCGGGTGAATATCCTGCACGTCAGCGTTTCTTCTCTGCGCACAGTGAATCAACGAGTTCATTTAATGTCTCTCGTCCGTCTATAGAGAACCCGACGACACCAGATATAGTGTATTTTATACCATCCTCTTGTGGTTCATCTTCGGCATCACCATCATCATCATTTTCATCATCCACAAGCCACCACTCTAATCTTGATATAGTGGATGAAGTACACTCTGGGGTCCAGCCGATTGTTTTAACCACCACCACCAGCATCCAACAACAACTACAAAAGCATCCAAATCAATCTCAGGGCTTTACTCCGGTCTATGTTAAAGTCGATGCTGCTGCGTCGCGACCGAATGAAGGGTTGGTTCTTGCTTTCCCTCCAGGAACAACTTTTATCCAAACCGTGGGGAATTTAGGTCATGTGCAGTCGATTCCGATACAGTCAGGCTTTGGAAACAGTAACATCGGGAGTATTTCGGGTGGTCGAAAGGTGTACATGACCAGTGCCGGTAAAGCGAGTCCAACTACATCATACACCGTTGGGCGAAACGGTTCTGGTGGTGGTTCTCCTAATCAACTTCTTCAACCGGTAAAAGTAATGAGCGTTATCGGACGGACTGTTCGTGCCACGGATCCCATACATACACATCCGGGAAACCATTCCACACTGGACGAACTTTCTTCGGTCACATCATACTCTCCTAGTTCATCTGTCTACTCCTCCACGTCGAACGATCCATTCATTCCGCTGCATGATTCTCAGTTCGGTACTGAGGAGAGACTGAAGCCGGAATTGATTGATGAAGATAATCAGAATTCAAAGAGGGATGTGTTGATCAACAATAATGCGATTCGTAGGCGCTTTGAAGCTCGCTTTGATACCGGTTGTATGCTGCATACAACGGATCCTCATAATTCAGTCCAACGTCTTCTAAGTAAACATCAATTTAACATGGAAGTTGAACAAGCCCCTGCGACTGAGAGTGTAGATGCAACTGTATGCGTTTAAATGGAAGAAGGCGAAGAAATTTACTTGTCTGGTGATTCGATATTCGCAGATACGATGCTAGATGGTTCGGTTGTCCCGTGGAGTGATGATAACGGTATGAGGAACGTTGATAACCCAGGCTACTGAAGCCATATGACAATACACAGTGGGGTAACATACAGTATTGCCAGTTCCAGGGGTCGGACAACTCCACTTCCACCACTAACTGTGAATGTACTCAAGTCTTGTCCATCTCCGGGCGCTTCCGGTTGCCCAGCAGAGACTACTCCCGGGGTTGAACCGAACTCTGGAAGCATTATTGACTCGACCGCTGGTCAAACACCCATAACTGAATTTCCCATGTCAACAGAAGGTGAACAGATTGATACAAGTTTTGATGCCATGATGAATTCAGTCGATATAACAACATTCCTTCCTGGCACATTTTCAACTGACGAGGACCAATTAGTCGTCGATTCAAATCCTCCCAAACTGTCATCACCACCCGGGTTGGATTCGATCGATGAGGAGTCTTTTGATTTCCCACAGCTGATCACTTACAGTAACTGCTATGAGTGCGTTACGGACGTTTGTTTTATTCCCCACAATCGCACCTCACGTCCCTCGTCCGCATCTTCATAGTCGTTCTCGGCAACCTCGTCCGCCACTTATTCAGTCTATGCCGTTTCGCCACTAACGGATTGGATGCGCTGGACAAATCAAGCCTGTTCATGATCAAACCGGATTGGCCCATTGTTGCTTAATATTTACCCTGCTCTCTGTCCTCCACTCCCTACGCCTTCATATTTATCAGGAAACAAGTATACTTGAATGTATGCGTGTTCGCGAGAGTATTGCTTTTGAATTATGAGACCTTCAATTTACAACCCGTGCATTAAATAATTCGCGGACTTAACACTTATCCTCATATGCAGCTAATATTAACACGGGCAAGATTTTCATTTGGACAATAATGATAATAATGACAACAATATGAATGACTGACACAAATGGTTTGCTCTTTCCAACCACCTCTCTATTTTTGGACAGTCAGACTTGGTTTTCACTATTGTTCCCGAAATACACTGCCCGAAAGCACTCATTTTTCTACCTGGAACGGACTTGAGCGTCATCATCTCCGCTAGATAAGTATCGTTCAAATACTTCGTTTCCCTCTAATTTCGTACGCACCACAGTCCTCCCCGTTTGAGACTACAGAATTATTCCCGGCCTTCTAACTCCTGTGGGTAGTTGTATAGATCATTTCATTTCTCAAAAACCAAATTGCTTCCATTTGGAATTCTAATAACCGTAGTAGTAGTAGTATAATCACGCTCTATTTCACTCCTTGCAACGCTCAGATTTTGAGTGTTTCGCGTTATTTCCTGTTTTATTTTTCTGGTTGTCCTGATTTTTATCCTTACCCGCCCTCACACTTATCTCGTTTAATGACAATGAAGGATCACGTACCTTTCTACATTCTTACACAATTTCCACCCGCGCATTCATATACGTATACAATTGAGTTGGTTGTCTCTTTTTTGTATATTTGACTCTTCAAAACTGTACAGACTGGTGACAAGTTCAGGTAATCGTCAAGCTATTGTTCTGTTATACATCTTTTCCTGCTTCTCGCTCTCTCACACACTCTTGAAAACTGTCACGACTCATGTTCGACAATGACTCTGACAGGAGTACGGCATGTTCTCAGGTTTCCGTTAGATGTCACCCTATTTTCTGTTTATCCGTTTTTATATTTTGCAACGATTTTGCAGGGAACGGCGCTTCCGTTTAAACTCAGTCAAAATTGTCGTTCTGTTGAATGGCATTTATCCGGAACTAGACTAACACACACAATTACACACCACGACCAATTATTTAAGGCAGTACTGTCTGCTCTAATATAATCGAATTGTTGATTGTTTCCTTTTTAAAACGCATTTTCTCGAGGAGCCTCTGCTCACTTTTATAGTCATGTGCTTTCCGTGCAGTCGTCTTTTTGGTGGGCTTCAGTGCATCTGTGGACACAAACACAAGCAAGAAGCTACTTCCCCCACCCTCGGGGACGAATACCGTTTCCGCTTACCTGTTTTTATTTTATCCCAGTCACTGGATTGATTGGTTTTCATTCACTTCTCAATCGCTTCCCCTGTATGGTTTTTTTCGTTTATAATATCAGAGAGCGAGCACAAACGTGAACTGGAAAAAATCGAAACAACACCGCTTTTTTTCTCGTACTTTCCTTTTTCGTCCTCGATCGATCAGAGAGCCAGACGCAAATGCCAGGGTAACTTCGTTCAGATTAGTATAGGAACGACTAATAATTGCGTTCGCCTAGAGCCAAGTGTGTGCCTGAGTACTAGACGTTCAAGAAACAACTAGTCTTTTAACGCGGTTATATCAAGTGAAGCGCGCAGCGATTTGAATGATTTGTTGATCAGAGAAGTATGTAATTCACGCGCAAACTGTTATTTTAAACGACTAACTTTATACCCAAATGAAACGTTCATTACTGGTTTCTCTAAACCACTTAGTTTTTTAAGCTCTACTACTGTTTATCAGGTTTTCAGGTCGCCCCCAGATCGGATAAACCGTCTTTGTTTTTGCATGCCTTTATTTCGAAGTTTGCTTGTTTTTCTGTTCCATCCTGAATGTGAGATTCTTATATTTGTTGATTCCTGATAAACTTTCACAAAAGTTTTGAAAAAATCTGATAAAAAGACACTCAGTCACGAAATGAAATGGAGAGAACGTATGGCAAGGACGT